GGGCTGGGCAGGCAGCCCCAGCCCGCTGCTGGCTTTTCCCACCTGGCTTGTTCTGTACTTACCACCCGGTCCCCGTCGCCAGCACTGCCCCTTCTACCCACAGCTGCTGCCGCCCAGCCTGCTTGCTTGCCTGCCAGCCCCGTGCCTGTACCGGGTGGCAGGGAGGGAGCCAGCGCACGTCTGGTGTTATAGCTCCTGCAGCAGGGACCTGCTTAGCATCCCCTCCCCTCCATCGTCCTATGCCCACTGGGCCTCGTTCAGTGGGGAGGGGCCATTAGGGGATGAAATCGGGCTGCAGGGGGTCCGAGGACTGGGGCTCTCCCGCGTTCCCCCTCGTGGGAAAGGAGACCAGCGCGCTGTAGAGGGAGGCTGGGTAAAAGGCGGGTGCTTGCCCCTGGGCAGAGATGGCCTCGACGGGTTTGCACTTGAGCCGCGCAGGCGAAAGGTGCCGGAGAAGCGGCACGTTTCACTGACACAGACGCCTGAGGAGGGGCGCCATGGGGTGGGAAGCCAGGCCAAACCCTGGCTCGGCCTGCTGCCGAGTTCAGAAGCGAGGAGGAGACGCTGCGTGACATGGTGGTGTTAACTCAGCAGGTGGCGTTCTTCTCCTGAGGGAGACGGCCCTGAGGCTAGGGGCACTGTGCTGCCCGACGGGCTGAAGTTCTGGCCCTATCCCGACTTCCACCAGCGCGAGTGGGGTTCATTCTGGTGTCCTGGCCACGCTCCACGTCTGGCCGATTCCCCTTGTCATTTCAACGGCAGGTTAGTCTGGTTCACGCCCCCTTGGCTGCAGGTCAGCTAGCCCAGAACAGCTGCCACGCTCCTCCCCAGACGGGGCCTGGCTTCGGCAGAGAGCTGAAGGCAGCTGTGGGCAGAGGCACGTGAGAAGGCGCCCGGGGGCTGTCGAGGGAGACGGTGGCTAAAGGGCTATGCACCCAAGAGGGTATTTCACTATGTCCACCAAGAGGGGGACGCGCGGAAACGTCCGCCATAGCCTCAAACACACGCCCCTTCCTTGTGCAGGGCTGCATGTGCGCTCAGCGGCGTCTGACCTAGTTTTACTAGTGTGGAGTGCAAGGATTTCAGCGCCCGCTAACGCTGCCAGGGTGCTCCACAGCGAGCCCTGCACCCCACCGACGCTGGGACAGGTGGCCAGCTCCTTTGCCCACCAGAGAAGAGCCAGGCCCAAGGGGCAGCCCTTCCCGGAGCCCCCTCCCGGCAGCACCAGGCTAGTCGTTGGAACGCTTCCTGGGGATGCTGCAGTCCAGAAGCTGCATGCGGCCCGGCGCTCGCTGCCGTCACTGCTGAGAGAGACGTTACTCCGTTCTGCCGTGCTAACCCCTATTTGGCAATGTGTCGGAACTCAGGCACACTTAATTACTTCAGGGGGGAGACTTGGCATTTGAGGTGATGGATAAAAGTAATAGGAAATGAGACAAGCCCGCGCTGGCAGTGAGTTCTCACTCACGCCCCGTCCCCCGGCACGCCGCTAATCAGACATGACACGCTACGCGGCTGTGTCCAATTGGCGCCGCTGCGGCCTGGCGTGCGGCTCACTCGCCGGCTCCGGGCAGAGGCCGTGTCGGCGAGGCTGGGAGCATGAAAGGCACGTTCCGCTGTGCCCCGCAGAGGCTGACACAAAATCCTCGTGTGAATGGTTAAAGAACGACAGGCCGAGAACTGAACCACTCCTCCCATGCCCCGCGCCCCTCTGGGGACCCGCACTCCCAAGAGGAGACCGCGCCGCGTCACCAGCACGCTGGCCAGCTCGCAGAGAGGCTTCATCTCCGTCGGAGGGAGACCCGCTCACCCCACAGTGGCTCCTTCCTTCCCATGGGAGGGGCTGACTCTGGTGGGTCAGGCCCACAGCAGAGGGCGCCCGCGTACGACACACACCAGCAGGAAGAGGACAGTGGGACTGCGCGCACGGGAGGTGCCCAGAATATCAAATCACATGGAAATTAAACCCCACAGCAGCGCTCCCAGGGGACGGGTGTCCAAGTTAGGGATGTAAAAGCCCATTCAATGGGTTAACCTGTTAAACGCTGGAGTTAGCTGGTTAACCAATTAGATGGGGGCTCGCGGGGAGGGCAGGCCGGACTAGCGCAGCCCTCAACCCACAGCGCTGTTCTGGGTACCGGCTAACTGGTAAGGATCTCCCGTTAAGAGTGATGCTTACCAGTAACCGGTTAACCGATCACCCAGTCTCGTCCCTCGGCCAAGTAAACCCTCAGCACAGCCCTGATAGCGCACGCTGTCGACACAGGGCAAGAGAGCAATGACCCTGCCTGGATGAGAGCTCGTTTGCTGTCTCCGCAAGGCTCCTGCCGCAGCCTCAGGCCCCATTTCACAAGAACTCACTAATCAGAGTGCCGCCAAGCCCGGACGGGCAAGGGAGCTTTCCCCAGGGCCGCGGATGTTTTATTGAACCTTAGCACCAGGGGAGGGATGTCCCAAAGCCAAGCCCAGCTCAGCTCACAAGCCGTGTCGGTCAGCGGTGCTGTGCCATGCCTGGGCCTGATCCAGGCGGTAAAACCGGCGCCCTGTGCCGAGCACGTCAGCAATGAAGAGCCGCAGAGACATGCTGGGCACCCCACTGAGTTCAGGGCTCCAGTCACTTCCTTCGGAGACAGCGAGGGCCCCTCTTTAACCCAGCGTGCAGCGACACGCACGTGTGCAAATGGCGACATCGCCGCCTGCCTGGCCACTTGCAGCACCAGCCAGCCTGTAACCATAGCAGCCCCATCTAGCACGCCAGCTCGGGGCCTGCGCTTTTAGGCTCCTTTTACACGACTGCCTGGCAGCAACCGGGGGGAAGAGAGAGAGAAGGGCCTGCCTCGGAGAGCTAGCCTACGGCCAGCGACTGCCCTACCTCTGTGCAGCCCCCGTCCCCACCCTCTTCCTGCATGCCACGGTCGCACTCGCCAGCCCCCACGGAGTGCGGCTGCACGTGGACCCAGGCTCCAGGGAGGGGAAGCCTACCACACGCCACCCTCAGGAAAGGGGTGTGGCTCCAGGCGCCCATGACAAGGGTTAGGAGGAACATCCTTCAGCCTTCACCAGATCGTCAATCACGGATAAAAACGGAACCACCCTGATGTTCACAGTTTATATCCTTCCAGGGGCGTGGGCTTGCTACCCTCCCCAGTGCCCAAGCACAACATGTTTCTCCTTGGTCAGTCTTCCTCCCCTTCCCCTGGCTGCTCTCACCTCGGACCACGCCTGGCCCTCAAGGGTCACCCCAGGGGCCGAGACCAGGGACAGCCCGAGCCCCTGCCGGGTAGCAGTCGGGGCTGGAGGCAGACAGGGCATGCTGCTGGAATCGGGGCTGGTCTGGAGGGACCATGGGGGTTTCCCAGCATCCCCTGAAGCCCCTGTGAAGGCAGGTGGGTGTCTGACCTGAGCCACGCCCCCGCAGAACTAAGGGACAGGAATAATCCACATGCTCTGTCCCTCCCCGCCAATCGGTGGGGGAAGTGACTCGCCTCATTCCACAGCACCAGCCAATAGGAGCGGAGGAAACACCCCCCACTTGCATGCAGTACAAAGCCCTGGGCACCTGCCCCGGCCATACTCACATTACTTTCAAATCCCAGTCTCCGCAGGTGACAAAAATCGACTTGACGCTGGGATCTAAGAGGCCTTCCTTCGCCATCCACTCATCGACCCTCTGGAAGGAAGGCAGGGAACGAAGATGAGCTTTGTAGGCAGGGAAGAGGCACAACAGTGAAACACAGATAAGCCGCTCGCAATCAGACAAGGAGAAAATTGTGATCTTATCCAGCAGCTGCCCCGAGCCCCCCCCTTCTTCACTCGCATCGGCTCAACGAGAGACATTTGGGCCTTTGAAGATTTCCAGCAGGAAGCATCAGGCGGCCGGCGCAGAGACGATCTTATCAGACGCGGCAATGGCTCTGCTCCAAGCAGTGTGTATGGGGCAAGACAGCTCCAGCAGTGCTGGGGGCACCCCTCTCGCAGCCCTTCCCCAAAGAAGCTGTCCCAGGAGAGTGCCACGCTGCTTCCAATACAGCCGGGCCCTGAGTCCTGCACAGTCTGACTTCTTAAGGAAGCCAGAAATTGACCAAGAGCCCCTGGAGAAGCCCCCACAGACTGAAAACGGAAAGAAAATAGGCAACAGAACAGATACAAACGAGAGTCTCGCTGCCATCAGCCCAGTTCGGAGGGACAACCATTGCGGGATGGGGTTTTTCACCTACAGCACGTAACCTGGGGAGCAGCGAAGGGGACGCACCAGAGGGACACTTAGGGGTGCACAGCCATGCAGACTAAGGCCGTTACAATGGGTTGGCGTAAGTAACCGTGGAGCTGCTGACATTTTCAGTGGACACACGGTTATACGCGGGGTGGGGGGAATTGGCTCTCTGGGAGCCGGTCCATGTGGAGAGCCGGCTTTTAAGCTGCCTCACCACATGTAGCGGCTCCCACTTCCCTCCACCCTCCACTCCCGCCTCTGATACAGAGGCCGCAACGTGGGGTGAGGCTCCCTGGGAGCTGGTGCGTGCAGGGATGCGGCTTTTAAGCTGGCTCCCTGTGCGAACTGGCAGCCTGTGAGTAACCACGTGCACGGTTACACTTTCCTATCCCTAATGCATCCCACTCTTACAAACCCAATACACCCCTGGGCCCCTTTTCCTTCCCTTCTCCACTCCTACTGTGGCAGCGGGAATCGGTGGTGTGTTTGTGGAATGCTCAGAGATCCTCCGAGGCGGGCACTGCACACGTCAGCGTTACGCACTGCGCCCGACTACGTTCCCAGGAACATTGCAGTGGGCCAAGGGTCTTCTCTCCCATCTGGGACGGGATGCACTGGCTGGAACCCAATGTTTCCCCCGGAGGCAGCCAGGTGGCTATGGCATGTGGAGAGATTCTAGGCAGTGGCAGTGCAGGATTCTCAGCACAGTGGCTGCTATGACCTGACCCTCACCGTTCAGACACTCCCTCCAGGACTCCAGAGCTACGTCTACACTGGCATCCCTTCCGGAAAAGGGATGCTAATGTAGCACGTTGGAATAGGCAAATAATAAGAAATCTTCCGGAAAAGGCTTTATTTTCCGGAGAATAACGTCTAGACTGGCGCTTTTCCCCGGCTTTTCCCCAAGCCGGAAAAAAGAGGCAGCCATGTTAATGCAAATGCCGCGGGGGATATTTAAATCCCCCATGGATTTGCCTATTCCAACGTGCTACATTAGCATCCCTTTTCCGGAAGGGATGCCAGTGTAGACGAGGGGAATGGACACAGCCACCTACGGCTGCCGACAGCTTCCTTGTTTACCCACCCTTGAAATACAGGGAGCAGCAGCCATGCTGCATAAACCATCAAGTCCCAGAGAAGCCTACGGAGGTTGTGGAATCTCCATCCCTAGGGATATTTCAGAGCAGGTTGGACAGACACTTGCCAGGGATGGGCTAGATGGGGCCTGGTCCTGCCATGAGGGCAGGGAGCTGGACTCGCTGCCTCTCAAGGTCCCTTGCAGTCCTAGTGTGCTAGGGTTCTTATACATAACAACATTTTAATCCAGACACAGGTAGATTATTTGCTTTGCAAAAAAGTCTAAGAACTCCAATCAAATCCTAGGCCCCATTGTGCTGGGAGCTGTACAGACGAGGGCTGTCAATTCATTGCCATTAACGCACCCAATTAACTCAAATTAATCACGATCAATCACACTATTAAACGATAGAATATCAAGTGAAATGCATTCAATATTTTGGATGTTTTTCTACTTTTTCAAGTATATTGATTTCACTTACTACACTGACAACCAAGTGTCCAGCACCCACTTTATATTACAAATATTTGCACTGTAAAAATGACCCAGTAAACTGTATCTTTCATTTCACTTCATACAAGTACTGTGGTACAGTCTCTTTATCATGAACGTGTATGTTACACACAAACAGATGTTTTTGTTACATCATTGCACTCAAAAACAAAACAATGTAAAACTTCAGAGCCTACAAGTCCACTCAGTCCTACCTCTTGTTCAGTCAATCACTCATATAAACCAGTTTATTTACATTTAGAGGAGATGCTGCCCACTTTTTGTTTACAGCATCACCTGAAACTGAGAAAAGGTGTTCTTGTGGCATTTTTGTAGCCGGCATTGCAAGGTATTTACATGCCTGATATCACAGAACAGTAGAACTGAACGGGACCTCGAGAGGTTATCAAGTCCAGTCCCCTGTCCTCACAGCAGAACCAAACACTATCTAGATCATCTCTGATAGATGTTTATTTAACTTGCTCTTAAATATCTCCCGTGATGGAGACTCCCCAACCTCCCTAGGCAATTTATTCCAGTGTTTAACCACTCTGACAGGCAGGAATTTTTCATAATGTCCCACCAAAACCTCTCTTGCTGCAATTTAAGCCCATTGCTTCTTGTTCTGACTTCAGAGGCTAAGGAGAACAATTTTTCTCCCTCCTCCTTGTAACACCCTTTTAGGTACTTGAAAACTGCTATCTTGTCCCCTCTCAGTCTTCTCTTTTCTAAACTAAACAAGCCCAATTCTTTTAGTTGTCCCTCATAGTTCATGTTTTCTAGACTTTTAATCATTTTTGTTGCTCTTCTGTGGACCCTCTCCAATTTCTCCACATCTTCCTTGAAATGTGGTGCCCAGCACTGGACACAATACTCCAACTGAGGCCTAATCAGCACAAAGCAGAGCAGAAGAATGACTTCTCATGTCTTACTCACCACACTTCTGTTAATGCATCCTAGAATCCTGTCTGCTTTTTTCGCACCAACGTCAGTCATACTGCTGACTCATATGCTAACCATTCATATGCCCCCTCATGCTTCAGCCACCACTCCAGAGGACATGCTTCCATGCTTACGATTCTTGTTTAAAAAATGCATTAATTAAATTTGTGACTGAACTTTGAGGTGGAGAATTGTGTGTCTCCCGTGCCCAGGTTTTACCTGCATTTTGCCACATATTTTGTTACAATAGGCTCGGGTGATGGCCGAGCAACAGCTTGCAGTGCCAGATTTCCAAAGATAGCTACATCTCTCCACCCAAGGTTTAAGAACCTGAAGGGCCTTCCAAAATCCAAGAGGGACGAGGTGTGGACCCTACTTTGAGAGGTGTTAAAAGAGCAACTCTCCGATGTGGAAAGTGCAGAACCCGAACCACCAAAAAGAAACTCAACCTTCTGCTGGTGGCAACTGACTTAGATCATGCAAATGAACACACGTCGGTCCGCTCTGCCTTGGATCGTTCTCGAGCAGAGCCCATTAGCAGATGGATGCCCGTCCTCTGCAATGGTGGCTGAAGCTTGAAGGGACAGGTGAATTGGATATTAGGAAAACTATTTCCCTGGGTGGGCGGAGAAGCACTGGGATGGGTTTCCTGGGGGTGGAATCTCCAGCCCTAAAGATTTTTAAGTTCTGTCTTGACAGCCCTGGCTAGGACGGCTGAGTTGGGGTTGCTTCTGCTTTGGGCAGGGGGCTGGACTCAACTCCTGAGATCTTTTCCAGCCCTAGGAGTCTATGGCTCTTTAGTGCATCTTGTAGTGCTGGCTACAACCCTGCCATGCAAGCACTGGTCCTCACCTTCAGGTGACACTGTAAACTAGAAACAGGCAGCATCCTCTCTTGCAAATGTAAACAAACTTGCGTGCCTGAGCAACCGCCTGATTAAGTAGGACTGAGTGGACTTGGAGGCACTAAAGTTCTACACTGCTTCATTTCTGAAAGCAGTTATTTTTTTGTAGCTGTGCAAGTTCAGCATTCATGATAAAGCGCTCGCACTATAGCACTTGTATTAGGTGAATGGTTTTTACAGTGCAAATATTTTTAATCAAAATTACCTCTAACGTTAGCACTGCACACTTGCTATTCTCGGTTGTAATTGCAATCATATATTTGAAAATGTAGAAAACATCCACGAATACGTAAAGAAATGGCATTCTATTATTGTTTAACAGCACGATTCATTGTGTGAACGATCGCAATTCATTCTTTTAATTGCTTGCCAGCCCTACTAGACACAGAGAACAAAGGAGACAGTCCCTGGTCCAACGGGCGCAGGCGCGGGTCCACGGCAGGACTGGACAGTCAGACCAGACAGTTATGGAAACAGGCTCTATAATGCAATAGAAAATACCTTGCCGGGGGCGGGGGACTCTCTATGGCTGTTTTATCATTGCACAGGATTTCAAGGGAATTAGTTCCCTGGTACAGAATTCTACAGGATGCCTCCTAAGTCTCCTCTAAGATGCAGCCTAACAAGCCCTGCACTGGGGTTCAGGGTTACTTCTGCCCATCGGCCCCAGCCGGGGCAAAAGCGCCTCTCCCCACCAGCTCCAGCAAGAAGGGGCCTCTTCCTCCCCCTAGCTGCAGCAGCTCCATGCTAGGGCTGGAGGAGCGCACCTCGCCCCCACCCACAATCCCCAGCCCAGAGCTACCCCATCCCTGGCCCCCACCCAGCCTAACCTGGACCTGCCTGGCTGGGGGACAGGCAACCCACCCCAGGGCCCAAGCTACTGCAGTGACAGAGGGCTGGACATCTCCTCTCTCCCCGGGGCAACCTGCACCCTGAACCCCTTCCCCCGCCCCACCCCAGAGCCCTCACCCCATCCCCCAAGCCTCTGCCCCAGCCCTGAGCAGTGTTCCCTGCACGCTGTGCACTTGTGCGGCCACGCGGCGTGGTTCCAGTGCTGCCCAGTTGCTTACCGGAAAGCCCACAGCTGGGTTTTGTATCTGCTGGTGGTGCACAGTCACACATACCTCAGTGCACACAACCATTTTATTCTGCACATGGACAGAAAAAAATCTGCACTTGGATGGAAAATATTAGTGGGACCATTGGCCCTAAGTCCCCTCCCCCATGCTAACCCCTGGGCACCAGCCCCACCACACACTGCCCTTTTGTCAGGTGGTGCACCACACCCATTTTGGTGCACATAACAAAAGTCATTCCACACACGGACCGAGAAAACGAGAGGGAACACTGAGTGCCTCCAAAACCTGCAGAGAGGGTTTCACTCTCTATGACACGTTGTGAACGTAATGTCTACGAAACTCCACGGGCTCTCAGAGGAAGGCTATTGCAGTGGGGGTGCTGGTGTGCACCTGTGGATACACTCAGCAGTGGGCAGACAGCCACACAAACAGAGCAACTCAACTTGAATACACTTTGAACTTCTCTGTAATGACAGAAGTTTTGGCACCAGCGCAATGAATGAAAGCAGGAGCACACGACAGCGTGGGCCTGCCCTGGCAGGCAGGAACCAGAGGGAGCATGCCGTGAGCTCTGTGGTTTTACAGCATGTACATTTAATGGAGAATGGCCCCCGCTACCCCCCGCTGAAACAGTGCTGAGACTGCTGAGGTGCTGGGCGAGCCCGTGTGGCGGCGAGGGAGCCAGGCTTGCGAGGTGACCAGCACTTCCTCGCTGCAGTGCCCCAGGGCGGGGGGAGCTCGCTGCTCACTTGGTGTTATTTAAAGAGCTTCTCCTTCCCACTTACCCTGGGGACCCGGGGCCCACCATGTTCCAGAGAGAGTGACAGGCCTCCCCACCCAACCCTCTTCCCCTTCTAGGAGCCTGACCAAGACCTCAGGTCTTGGGTGAGAGACATGCCAATGGCATCTCCTTTTGCTCCCCCTCAACGTTGGCAGGGCTTGGCGGCATCCCCGGCCCCAACTTTTAACTCAGGCACTTGCTAGCTCCCTCTCCTTCCTTCCAGACTGCTTAGGGGTTCGGTTTGGCCAGCAGGGCCAGGCCAGGCACAAATTTCCCCCAACCCTATTTCACTGACCCCCGTCTTTCAGGCTGGGCGTGGAATGGGAGGCCCTTCTCAAGGCTGGTCAAAGCAGCTCCCGCTGCTGCAGGACTGTTCATCAGCCCCACTTCGAGTCCCGGGGCTGCCCCGTGGCCTCTGCCGCCGCCCCTGGGGC